AAATTTTATTATTACCTCAGTTATACTATAGACTGTATTATCATTTAGACTATTTACTATGTCTCTCTTTGAAAGGCTCCTACTTCCTTGACTGCCTATGGCTTGGGCACATCATTTCTTGTTAGCAGAAGGGGGATATACTACATCCAAACAGAAGACTTTGGGGCCATCGTATGGTTCTTCCTCTTTCTCCATGAAAACAGCAATGTCACATATAAGGATTGTTTAAGGATGAAGACATTGTTGTCAAACTGAATGAAAAATGAGAAAAACACACGTGTGTGCATACACACTCTCTCTCTCTCTCACTATGCTTTCAGTTTACTAAGTCTCTAATATTTTGATGGCAACGTTTCTCCATTCCTTGGAAAAAGACGTTATGCTAGGAAAGGTGGAGGCTCAGAGAAAAGGAGGAAGACTTTTAAGAAGATGGACCCAATGACTGTAACAATGGGCTCAAGAATGGAGGAGATTGTGAGATGGTACAGGATAGGATAAGATTTAGATCTGCTGTTCCTAGGTTCACTATGAGTCGTAATTGATTCAACAGCACATAATGACAACAACAATTTTTCACAGCTGACAACACAGGATTGAGAATTGAGTCTCATGTGATTTATAGCCTCACAAAGCCCGCTGGAGGGTCAGCTGTGAATTGCTTCTGGCTTGCTGTAGTGAGTGAGTGAGTAGGCTGAGTTGGGAGATAAATTTGAGTGACAGACATGATGTTTACTCAGAATCACATTTGCTCCTGTTCAAGTCAGCTCTCCCTGTCTCCTTAGCCAGTGGTTAAATTTTTCTCTCGCAGCCCCTCAGTCTCTCCTGTGGGAAATTATCTGGCAGTCTTACACCATCAGTTTGCCTCATCTAGACAGATATGTTTAAACGATACTTATGTGTAAGTGGGACTTTGCTACATTTCTTTAATCTAGCTTTAATTATAAACAGTTGTATGAACTCACATAACAGGATGTCCAGAGCTATGGGGGTTTCATTGTTGCCTGATATGGAGGTTCAATGATGTAGTCCAGAACTTAGCTTGTCTCCATAGCTCTATTCTTCCATCCTTTTTATTGATTTCTTCCTCATGTTGAAAGTGTGTAGACAAGAGGAGTGTGGCAGCTCTAAGTGAGGAGTGCGGCAGCTCTAAGTGACGACATCAACACCAAGAATAGGGGAAAGGCCATGGCTTTCTATGTCTCATTTTTAGCAGCAGAGAAAACTTTCTGAGAAGCCCCATGTTAAGTTTCCTCTATGATTTGCCAGAAGTGGGCCACTTGTCCCCTCTTAACCTAGCCACTGGCAAGAGCAGGTCTGGTAAATTTAGTGTAATTGGCTTAGACAAATTATTTGTAATGGAATGCAGGTTGAGAAGTCAATGCAAAACCCACAATTACTTTTCCAATGAAAAATCCAATGGGCAATGAGTTGTCTCCCCGTTGTTGGTTATTAAAGCACTACAACCAAGTATTTATGGGCAGTGCCTTAAAAGAAGAAAAAAACTCCCCATGTTATTCCGCACCACGGCCTTCCTATTCATCTCCCCTGGATGGGTTTTCCTCCCCCTTTCCAAAGCTCTTAGAACTGCCTGCCATGCTATGCTTACCCTGTTTGTATTCTATTCTCTGCTTTCTCTTACTAAATCTTCTTATAACTGGGCTTACAAGGAGCAGGCTCATGGCCAGTAGTTGTTACACAAATGAGCCAAACGATGAATTGTCCTCTTCATCTATGGAGAGTGAGTGTTACTGTAGCTTTTAATACCTTCTCATCTTAGATCAGACAAATAACAATGCTTTGAGAGTTCTAACATGGTGAACATCACTAATGTGCTAATAAAACAAAAAGTTATTGGGATAATCATTCCCTCTAACTTATAGAGCATACAGTTTTATGGTATTTTAAAGTCTTTGTGTACTCCTGGTCCTCTATTACAGCAATTACAAGCACTTTGTAGTTGTCAGTAGTTGTCAGTTTACTGATATGTCTCCTCCATTAATCTATACATTTCCCAAGGACCTGAACTATGTCCAAACTTTGTTGGTGACGCCAGATGCCATCAAATTGAGTCCAACTAATTGCAACCCTAGGTCAACAGAACAAAACTCTGCCAGATCTTATACCATTGTCTCAAGTGCTATTCCTTGGTGAAGGACAAGAATGTTGGGAAAGGTGGATGGTCAGCAAAGGAGAGGATAAACCCTCAACCAGGTGGATTGATACAGTGACTGCTGCAATGGGCTCTGTGTGTCAGGAAGCGTGATGATGGCACAGGATAGAGCAGGGTTCAGACCTTTTATTCATAGGGTCGCTATGAGTTGTGCTTGACTTGACAGTAACTAACAACAACAATGCACTTGAATCTGTTGTTGCAGGCACTGTCTATCTTGTTGAGAGTCTTCTATTTTTCTCTGACAGAGATCTCTATCTTAAAACATTTTTCCAAGGACTGGCTCATCTTAATAACATGCCTGAAGTATAAGAGAAGAAATTTTGCTTTTAAGGATCATTCTAGATACATCTTTTCTAAGACAAATTTACTTGTTATTTTGGAAGCTCATGGTACATTTAATATTAGCTGCAAATACCGCAATTATAAGGCATCAGTTCTTCTTTGATCTTCCTTATTCATAGCCCAACTTTCATGTACATATAAAAGGATTAAAATACTATGGCTTGGATTAGGAACACCTTAGTCCTCAAAGTAACATCCTTGCTCTTTAGCACTTTTTTAAAATTTAGGTTGTTTATTTTTCATTTCAATGAGCTCTTTAGCACTTTTAAGATATTCTTTGAGTAGATTTACCCAATATGTTGCTTAATTTCTTGAATGATGTTTCCATAGGTGTTGATCTTTGACCATTTACTGTGATGTTCAATCCAGTTGTAAGGAGTATTTTTCCTTTCTGTGAAGTATAAGCATATTCTCTCTCCCCCGCGCCCCCCTCTCTGTGTGTGTGTGTACACTGCCAAATCTGACTGGTACAGGAGGAGGTTGTTCCTCTTTCTCCAGCAGAGCATCTGGTGAATTAGAACCACGCACCTCTGGAATTGCAGTGCAGCTTCTTGCCAATAGGCCACCAGAGCTTGAAGAAGTATAAGCATTTTTAAAGAGATCCTTTGCATCAGATTCACCCAGTTTGATATGTTGAAGTGTACTCTATATAGAAGGCTGTATATAGTCTTTGAGCCTTTTATCATTGTTTCAAGTCTTCTTTGTTCACGGCAAGCAAAGTTGTGACACCTGCATATTGCAGATTGTTAATGAGTTTTCCTGCAGTCCTGATGCCGTGGTCTTCTTCATATAGCTTGTTAGATTATTTGTTCAGCATGTATACTAAATAAGTATGGTGAAAGGATACAGCTTTGATGCAAAACTTCTGCAATTTGGTATCATGCAATATTAATTCCCTTGTTCTGTTAAATTAGTGCTTCATAGGTACAGGTTACTTATAAGACAATTAAGTATTCTGAAATTCTCATTTTTTGCAATGTTACTAATAATTTGTGATGGTCCCAGATAGTAGACATCTTTCTGGTATTCTTGCTTTTAGCTAGAATTTATCTGATAACAATAATGATATCCTTCATTCCATATTCTCTTGAGAATCCAACCTGAATTTTTGCAGCTCCTGTGGATGTATTTTTCCAATGTTTTAAAAATTATCTTTAGCAAGATTTTACTTACACTGATATTAATGATACTGTTTGGTAACTTCTGTATTTTACTGCATCACCTTTTCTTGGCTGTGAACACATATACAATCTCTTCCAATTGATTGGCCAACTAGTTGTTCTGCAAATATTTAGACACAGAGCATGGAACACTTCTAGTGCCACAGCCATTGGTTGAAACACTTCAAAGGGTATTCCATAAATTCTTAGAGCCTTGTTTATTCCTAGTGTAGCTTGAATTCTTTCTCTTGGTACCACTAATTCTTTATCATATGCCAGCCACCTTCTGAAATGATTCATCACCAACCAATTCTTTTCGACCCAGTGATTCTGTGTATTCCTTCCAGCGATTCTATGTTCTTCTCATTTCTTTTGATGCCTCCTGAATTTTATTCAATGTTTTCCATGGAATCATTTACTATTGTAATCAAGGCCTGAATTATTTTCTTTGGTCTTTTTTGGCCTGACAGATGCAAACATGTTTTTTTTGGTTTTTTTTAGGTTTTCTAACTCCACATATTTGCCATTTCATTATAATTCTTCATCTTCTCAACCTTTGAAATCTGTTCAACTCTCTCTGTTTATTAGTTTCCTTTTTTTTTTAGTTTCTCTATGTTCTAGAGTAAATTTCAGCATATTTTTTTACATCTGTTTTGGTCTTTTGTGTCTTGCCTGTGTTTTTAGCGACCTTTTGCCTTCTTTATGGAATAGAAATAGAGAAATGGATTTGATTTCTGTGTATTCCACCTGGCAAAGTCCATCTTGGTACCCTTATAATTTATCATTGCTCCTTCTTTATTAATGTAATGAACAGATACATAGTTAATAGATAGCATCATGGATGGATGGTTGTATGGACAGATGGATGAAAAAGATAGATGAATGGATGATTGGGTAGGTTGATTGGATGGATGGGTGAATAAGTCTGAAATTATTTTCCTTGTTACATTTCAAGAAAGAGGCAATTGGCAAAGCATTTTTATGGTAGAGTTATAGGAATGCACCTTGAAGGGTCATAGGACATTTCCTTTCAGCTCTCACATGTTGACTCATTGGGGGTGGGGGGAAGATGTGCTGACTTCACTTGCAGGCACAAGGTGGCCGCTCCCAGATGATTACTCTTTTCTTATTTTCTATATCGCATGAGACCAGACCTCTGGAGTGAGCAGTGGTATTTCTTGCTTTGAATTCTTGTCTAGTATGTTTGGGAAGCCCTCCTTTAGGCTGACAGCCTGTGGCAGACAAGCCCTAAAGCTGCTTTTGGCCTCTCTTTATTTGAAGATAAAACTATTTCATTACACGTGTGTCTATTTCTGTTTCTCCAGGAACCCAGGCCACTCACCACAGAAAGATGCCAGTTTTACTCAAGTGGGATAGGATACTTATATGATGTCTACCAGACAGAGGTAAAAACAATGTGCTGTTTCATTTGTTTGATTCTTACTTGAGGGATCGGTCAATTTTCTTCTGTGTCAGGAGTTGAAACATAATTTCTCCCCCTTAATAGTTCTCCCTGTAATGTCTTTATTCTTTGCCATGATGAGAAACATATAGCTCATAGTTTATTTTTGAGCTAGCTTTGACATTTCAATATATTGTGTTTGTTTTGGAATAACAGTTGCTCACGTGCCTTCTTTGATGCATAGCAATCTCCTGAAGTCCATTTGTTCAGTTCAGTGTGGCCATTTCTCTTAGCAATTTTTACTGAATTAATTATTGGAATAAAAAGCTAGGATAATCCATTTACATTGGCCAAGAAACTCAACATTCTCTTGGCCAGGGACATCTGTGTAGTGATTTTATTTTCTATTTCTAGCTATATGAAAATTCCAGGAATAATAAAATGCACAGAGACACACCAGAATCTTTCACACTGTCCCAAATGGGCACACAGCTCCATTTTGACTCATCTGGCTGTCACAACTCTAGACTGTGTAGATTTTTATGGTTTAAATAAACATGAGCCTCTCAAGCTGAGGACAAATGGAAGAAAATGAGTCATGTCAAGAACACAGGAAAACAAACACAATGGAGTTAAGGGAAAGCCGGAGGCCTCAGATCAGTTTGTTCTAGAATTGCCTATGAACTGTTGGTAGTAGTCTGTATTCTTTAGCATAAGAAAATATGTTATGTAGGAGAAAATACTAGAGTGGGGATTTTGAATACCCAGGGCACACCCATGAGAAAAATTTTTTGCCCAGAACTTTTGCTGCTGGACCAGGGGACTTTGTGCTGCCCCACTCCATGGAAGGTGGTGGATTTCTTCTGTAAAGGCTAATCCCTGGGACTCACGGCTTTTTACCAGTCTCTGCCTGGACCTCCAGCCAGCCTGGCCAGAAAGAATCCTCTGGCAGAGCATGTTCAGAAGTAGATGTTGTAAAAGTCAACCAATTGACCCTCAATCACCTGGGTCAAATTCCCTAAGCCATTACTGTGTGCCATATGCAGCACTCTCCAAAGAAGCGGAATCAATGATAGGTACACACTTCTCAAGGAAATTGCTTTTGGGCTTTCAGAGCCTGGGCAGTTCCAGGAATGTGGGTCAGACTTTGGAGAGAGAGGTGTTTACGGAGGCTGAGAAGTCCAAGTTTGACAGGCAGGCTGGTCAGCAGATGCTTGGATTCGGAGACCAATGAGCCCAAGGGTGGCAGATAAGGGAAACCATTCAAATATGGCGCTGATGAGCCACACATGTTGTTGTTATGTACCGTCGAGTCACTTGCAACTCATAGCGACCCTATGTACAACAGCCCTAAACCCTGCTCTGTCCTGTGCCAATCACACTGTCTCTGACACACCCATTCAAATTATTCCAGTAACTGAATCAATCCCTCTCATAGAGGGTCTTCCCCTCCTGCGCCATCCCTCCACCCTCCCAAGCATGATGTCCCTCTCCAAGGACCCGTCCCTCCTTATAAAATGTCCAGGTAAAAGGCTAGACAGGCTTACTGGAGAAGATGTATTTATATCCAAATAGCTATATCAATGTATTATAAAGTTGGAATGACTCATAGCTAACCCTCCAGCAGATTTTTCAGAGGCAAGTAATTGCACAGAAGGAGGTTGCCCCTCTTTCTCCCATTGAGCAGCTGATGGGTTCGAACCACATACCTTTGAGTTGGCAGCTCAGCTCTTTACCACTACACCATCAGATCTATCTATATCAATATGTATTTTTTCTATCTATCTATCTAATCTATCTATTATCATCTATATCTGTCTAGTCCAAGAAATCGCACTATTAATCCCAAAGTGGCACCTTTCTGGCAGTTTAAATTCACCAGTGATCCCACAAGGGAAAGATGGGCGATCTCCTCGTGTGTGGTTCATAACTCCCAGAAACCTACTGGAGAGTCAGCGATGAATCAGTTTGAACTCCATGGCAATGAAATAAGTGTATTTGTGTGTGAGTATTTTTTTTCTAACTCAGGGCATGGACCTGAAGAAACGTCCCCTACATTGGATCAGGGCTGATCATATCACTACATAACTGCCTCTGATCCTGCTTCATTAACATCCTGAAGGCTAAGATTTAAATCACCTAGGAGAATTATGTTTTCCTGAGAAACATACCCACAGTATTAACTTCTCAGCGTATTGTACCCTCCTTTCCTCTACAGGATCTTTGTGCTACTCTGTCATCCCCCACCCCAGCAGTTCCACAGTTCACCTTTATTTTTTGTCCCAGTCTGAGACTGAGCTCTTTCTATTCGTTGCTCCATACAGAAGCAAAGCCTCACCCTCTTATTGGATGAGGATGCCTCACATCTACTCTTGTCTTCGCTTGAAGTCTCATTTATCAGCGTCTCCAAGTGATATGATAGTGCCCTTTGTGGCCTGCATGAAACACAGAGGCTGCCCCGGGCTCTGCCCTTAACCAGAAGTTCGCCATCTCCCTGCACATTGTCATTAACTCAGGAGATTTAAAGCTTTAAACATGTGTATCAGCGTCCCAACCCCAGATATTTTATATCACTATTCTGGTGAGTGGCCTGGATATCAGGATTGGTTAGGTGATTCTACAACCATGGTTGACTGCCTCTGCTCCAACCAGAGGTCAGCAAGGTGAGGTTTTTGTTTTGTTTTTAGCAAGGTTTTTCTCTAAAGGGCCAGCTAGTATATATTTTACACTTCATGTGCTATATAATCTTCATGACAGCTACTGACGTCTATCAGTAGCATATGAAAGCATCCACAGACAATATGTAAACTAATAAATGTAGTGTTCCAGTAAGAACTTACAAAAAGAGGCAGCAAACTGTATTTGGCTTGTGGGCTATGGTTTGCCAACACCTAACCAAAACAGGTGTCCTAGTGGTAAGAATCTACACTGCAATCCTGAAGGCCCATGGTTCGAATGCACCAGCTGCTCTGTGGGAGGATGGACAATCTCCTCTTGTGCCATTACTGCCTCTGAAAACCCACCAGAGAGTCAGCTATGGGTCAGTTCGATGATACACAACAACCTAAACTACTGTCATCTACTATTGTGGCCTAGTAAGCAAGGGGTTGTGTTGCCAATAAAAAGGCAGGAGGTTTGAATCCTTCAGGTGCTCTGAGGGAAAAAGACAGACAGTCTCTTCCTGTGCAATTTACAGCCTTTAAAACCACCCTGGAGGGTGACCTGCAAGTTGGTTCTGAGTCAGTGGTGATGAGTTTGAGTTTTCAGTTAAGTGGTTGATACCTAGATTCCTTCATGTCTTAAATATTTTAGCTCTTCAGAAAGTTTTATCACTCCAGACTCCAAGGTTTCACCCAGGGCTGTTTAACTTTCACTAAAAGATTCCTCCTGTCCTCTTACAGGGCTGGGTACAGAAGGGCTAAGAGTTAAGCATGTCAGCGTTAAGCAGCCCAGGAGGACTTGCAAACTAGATGGACTCTCTGGAGTACGCTAGATCTAGGAGACTCTGTGTGGGTTCCAGTTGCAGACAATTCTATGGAAAGCCTGGAAGAACATGTGAGAAAGTGTTCTTCCAGACCTTGTGGATGGGTAGACAGCACCTGAAATAGTCAGTGAGGGCGAGTGAGCACTGGGATAATGGAAATAGAGGGCATGCTCAGGAAGACTTGCCTGAAGGTGTCTACGCCAACCCCAGAGCTGGGGCTCAAGGTGATGAGTCTAGACTCCCCACCTCCACTTAACTCCATGGGACCCACCAACAGAATTCCTGCTTTCCCAGACCCCAGCGCCATCCTCTCCCTCCTCCAATGTTGCTCAGTTCTCTCAAGTCCCTTCTCTGCTGCATGTTCCCGTCCCTCTGTCCAGGGCTCCTAACTCCTTGTCCTGCACTGATCTGCTCGTCTTGGAAAAACCCCTCTGGGCTTTACATCTTTCTCTTGATATGTTTTTCTCTTGATTCCTGGAGGGGGTAAAGGTTGTTGTTATGCTTCTATATGCTTCTACCTTCTGCTATTTCCTCCCATGGTCTGACTTGTTGACATATTTGCTCAAAACAAATGTCTCTTCAGAGCCACTTGAAAACACAATGGCTTTTTTGTTGTTGTTCTTGACTACCTGTAGTTCAAATAACAATGACTGTTATTTCCATCCTAGAACTCGGCCTCCACAGTGCTTTTCTGTCTTTGATGGCTCGTACTCAGCTCATGAATTCAGCGTGACTGAACACTAAGTTCTCTGCCCTTCCCATGCTCTCCCTGTCACTCTGTGCCTGCTGATTGTTTACTCGGAGCCGTAGATTAGCACATGATCCCTTAGAACTCCCTTTTGAATGTTTCACTAAATCTCCAGCTCAAACTCTGTTAAGACTTAATGCACTGGCTCACTGTGCAGCATTAACCAAAGGTCTGGGTTCCGACACCAGCTTTACAGCTTTCTGTGGGTCCTTCTGATGGTCATCTCCTAGTCCCAGGGCTCAGTTATCTCGCCTGGGGAAATAGAACGTTTTGACCCCCTGAGTTTTAGCTTTAACATTCTATGATGGTCTTCTGACCTGATTCTTGGTCTCAGAACCACCACAGAGCCTGAATTCCTTCCTTCTTCCTTGCTCCTGTGTCTACACGGACGCTCCTGCTCTTTCAACTCTTCATCTCTAACACCTTCCCTGCAATTGTCCTTTGCCAGATGCAGTGTTACACATGGATGTCTGGAATAGCCTCTCACCTGGTCTGTCTGTGGTTTCCACCCATTCTAGTTTATTTTGTGTATTAATCTTCACACATTATACTTTCTGCTTTGACTTTTGTAAAGTCGCCTCATCTCCTCCAGCAGCTCAAAGACCACACCTTCCTATCAGTTTTGACAATTTTCCAACTTTAAGGACTGGACCCTTGACAGAAAGGCCATGTGTCAAACAGATAAAAGCATGTCTATCCTAGATCACAAGTGGCTGAGGAGAGGACAAAGACCCCTCCAAAAGGAGATCTTTCAGATCCTTTGACGATCCACCGTAGGAGCCCTCTCTGGACTTCTCAAGCTCTAAGCAGTACTACGTTTTTACTTGAAAGTGAGATGCTTCACCTTCTAGTGGGACATGCTAAGAAAAGCTCTATGCTGAGAGTTGGGAGTTGTGAGGTCAAATCCTAGCCATGAAGGAGTTGAACTCGCATGGGTACAACATATTTTGTACCCATGAAGACTTGGAAAAGTTCTTAAGCTCTCCAAATCTCATTGTTCTTTCTAAGCTGGAGGAACGACACTTGTTCTCCTGACTTCACAAATGTGTGTGAAACATGCTTTATCAGTTTTACCAGCACGTTGCCTCCATATCAAATAGCTCTGAGGTAGTGAGGAATGGTGGATGCTCCTGCTCAATTTTTATTCTTTTAATGCTGAAAATTTTCTTCAATCATTTACAAGAAGGGAACCTTTCCCTGTAAAACGAGACAACATCTCTCTGGTCAAGTTTAAGGTTGCCCACAGCTGTGCTTTGCATGTTCTCAGGGTGATTGTTCACCTGGTGGTGCAGGTAACTGAAATGTTCTTGCTTTAATGGTTCTGTCCTCATGATTGCCAGAATTCTGCGATGCTTAGCCTAGCCTGGCCCTTGTTTTGGCCTGGAATTAGCATGTCCCATGATTCCCAGCTGCTTCTCATAGAATCATGGGAAGTATGGGATGTGCCTAAGCCCCAGAACACCCCCCAGACATTAGGAGAGACTGGGATTCTTTAGAGCGGCCAGAGAGAGAGAGAGGAGTGGGCACTTGGTGACAAAATATCCTTGGAGAACTGAAGGATCTCTCTGATTGCAGGTCACCTGTCACTCCTTGAATGGCAAGTGTCAGCTGAAGGTGAAGAGCAACACCTGTTACTGCTGTGACCTCTACAACTGTGAAAAGTAAGTCAGGCGAGGTGTGAGGGGAGGGACCTTCTCTAACCGGGCCTGTGACCTGCTGGGCCTGTGATATCTGCATTGCACAGAGAAAGCCTCATCAAATTTTTCTTGAAAACGACTGCGTGTTCCAGGTTTTACTTAGAATTGGACAGCCCCTATTAAGCAGTCAGGGAGCTCTGGTGGTCTAATAAGGTATTGCACTGCTAACTCAAAGGCAGATGGTTCAAACCTACCAGCAGCTCTAAGGGAGAAAGCTGGGCATTCTCCCCCTTTGCTATTTACAGCTTCAGAAAACCCACTGGAGAGTGAGCTCTGACTTGGCTCCAACTCAACACAATGAGAGAGTTTATTAAGCCGGTATGCTCCTCATCTTAACCGCTCCATACTGTCGAGTGGGAGGCTGCTGAGGTTTGAGGGGAAGTGATAGGGCCGCTGACATTCATCAGGTATATTTTGTGCATTAGACAGGGTACATTTTCTATCTCTCCTTCTGTTCATTTTCCTTCAGTTTTTCTGTTATTCCTTTCTCCTCCCTTTCCTCATTCCTTCCTTAGATGCTATCCTTACCTCTGATATAATTTCTAACGTTGACATGAGTAAAAATCATTGGCTCTTTTTTGTAGAGGAGGAAATTGCAGTTTGGAAAGACTGTGTAATTCCCCAAAGTAACTCTATCAGTTTCTTAAGGCTGCTGTAACAAATTACCACAACTGATGTGACATAAAAGCACAGAAGTTTGTTATCTTCCACTTTTGGAGGTTTGCATTCTGAATCCTGACCAGGTATTCAGGTGAGGCCCTTGCCCTCGCTGAAGGTTGTCAGAGAAACTCCTTTGTTGTCTGTCCCAGCTTCTTGTCTCTGGCATCACTTGGCTTGTGGCAGCATCACTCCAGTCTGCCTCAGTCTTCACACATCCATCGTTCCTGTGTGTCTGTTTCTCTGGAGCTCTGCACTTTTTCTTGTTTAGATAAGAACACCAAACACATCGAATTAGGGCCTCTACGACCCTGACCCCTGTGCTCACCCAATATGTATAGACCTTGACTGGTGATGGTGACCACTGCCTTACAGCCAGTTGTCCCCTCTCAGGACAGGGTGCTGCTAAAAACAGCAGTACAGATTGTTTGACTCACCGAAGGGAACAAATGATGCTGCTCAAACATGGAAGCAGCTTGCCCAGGGGCACCAGTCTAAGTCCTACCTAGTCATCTTGAGGACTGGTGAGGAAAGGTGTCACTTAATTGGAGCGTCTCTTCTGTGTGCCTGGCTGCACCAGTTGGAAAGCTCTGACTTTAGTCAGACCCTTTCGATTTATACTGAATCCCCTAGAAGTACAGAAGGACCTAGTAACTAAGTTTTAAAACCCTCATGTCTTTTAGTCCACTGAATACTCCTTTCTTTAGTAAGTTTATTAAAAAGCATGTATGGGTGAGCTCTGGTGGCCTAATAGCAAGAAACTGCACTGCAATCCCAAAAGCACGTGGTTCAAATCCACCAGATGCTCTGCTGGAGAAGGAAGGGCAATCTCCCATACCAGTCAGATCTGATCTGACAGTACACACACACATACACACACACACATTTAAAAAAGCATGTACATTTAACCAAAAATAAAAATGCTACTTATCATGTTCCCTTTTTGAAGATTCACAAGGAGGTCCTAGCAACAGAGAAACCTTTGCGTTCCAGGCTTTCCCAACTTATTGGATCCTTAACTCCATTTTCTTTAATTAATACCTGGTCTTGAGGCCATGGGAAGAGCATTAGTGGCACAGTGGACTGTTGGGCTTCTAATCCAAAGGCAATGGTTTGAATCCACCAGCTGTTCAGGAGAAAGATGAGGCAGGGAGCTTCTAGAAAGATTTACAGACTTGAAAGTACAAAGGGGCTGTTCTCCTGTGTCCTACAGGGTTACTATGAGTCAGAAAAGCCTCAGTGGTATTTGGTGTTTGTATTTCTCAAGTCCATGTAACATAACATGGAGAACATTTGCTTTTAGGGAACTGTCTTCAGTAAACTCTGAATAAAATTCGCGTTTCAGCGAGATGAGAACCATCATGCTTCTTTAGAAAGGGCTGGGTACAGAACCAGCATTTAATGAGTCCCCACATTCTACAGAGAACTTGCCCTTAGAAGTTCAAGGCAAAGCTTTCCCATTACTTTCCTGCTGTGTGTAGTCTGCCTAAGACCCTCTGAAGACCAAGTACTCGCTCTGTGGTTAGAGACTCATTCTGACTGTAAGTGATGTGGACAGAAACTGATCTCTCTTCTTGGAACATCAAATCCATACAAGCTCCCCAAATACTTGAAGAAAATTATTAAATCTCCCTGTTTCCATGATCCTGACTTCTCTCTTGGTCTTCATATGACTTTTAATCTTTTTACTGTTTTATTTGATCGACGGCACATAACAACAAAACAACATTTGATCTATTTTGGAATACATCTCAATTGACTTTATCTTTTTTACCATATTTATGGTAGCCTGAGTAAAGGACAATATCCTAGGTATGTCCTGACCACTTGAAACTGAAGGGAAGCAATTAACGCCTGGGTACATACCTCATCTTCTAGGTACTTGCCTCTATTAATGCAATCAAAGACAAGCTGGGTGACTTTTTTAAAAGTCTCTGCCTCACTGCTGACTCACATTTTCTTTTGCCATTTTTACTCATTACCAAAGAGTTCAGTCTGTCCACCCCATGCAAATGCCATTGGCATTTTCTATACAGAAGAAGAAAAAGACAATATCTTTATCCTCTTGGGTGCCATCTTTTTAACCTTTGAATATTTTTTGGTTTACATACAAGAATTCATATGCATTGTGTTTGATCCATGTACATTGCATTGTATACCATCTTTCATTTACATTGTGATTCAATCATTCATATACACAGAATTTTATATTGTCGTTGTTGTTATGTGCAGTCGAGTTGCTTATGACTCATAGTGATCCTATGTACAACAGCCCTAAACTCTGCTCTGTCCTGTGCCAATCTCACTGTCTCTGATACATCCATCCCGATTACCCCAGTCACTGAATCAATGTACCTCATAGAGGGCCTTTCCCTCCTGCACCTGCCCTCCACCCTCCCAAGAATGATCTCCCTCTCCAAGGACCGGCCTCTCCTTATAACATGACCAAAGTATGTCAGAAAAAAGTATCTCAGAAGCCTTGCCTCCAAGGAGCTGCCCAGTTTAACCCTTTCTAGGATGAATCTGTTTGTTTTCTTAGCAGTCCATGGTACCCTCAATACTCTTCTCCAGCACCACAGCTCAAAGGCGTAAATTCTCCTTCTATCCTCCCTAGTATTGTCCAACTCTCTGATGCATAACAAGTGATTACAAAGACCATGGCCTGTATCAGACGCACCTTAGTCTCCAGAGAGACACCCTTGCTCTTCAGTACTTTGGAGAGGTCCCTAACAGCAGACTTTCCCATCGCAATACGTCTTTTAATTTCCTGGCTGCTGGTGCCAAGAGTGTTGACTGTGGAGCCAAGCAGACTAAAGCTGTGAACAATCTCAATCTCTTCACCATCCATCCTGATGCTGCCAATTGGTCCAGTGGTGAGAATCTTTGTCTTCTTGATATTGAGCCTCAATCCATATTGGAGGCTGCAGTCCTTGACCCTCTGCAGCAGGTGCTTCGGGTCCTCCTCAGTTTCAGCAAGCAGGGTTGTGTCGTCTGTATAACGCAGATTGTTGATAGATCTTCCACCAATCCTGATGCCGCATTTTTCCTCACAGAGCCCAGCCACCCAGATAATCTGTTCTGCATACAGGTTGAAAAGGTATGGAGACAGGACACATCACTGGAGTATGCCCTTCCCAATTTTGAACCATACAGTGTTTCCTTGCTCTGTTCTGACGACTGCCTATTGGTTCAAGTATAGGTTTCACATTAGCATGATCAAGTGTTCTGGGATTCCCATTCTTCTCAGAGCCAGCCACAGTTTGTTATGATCCACAAACACCTTTGCATAATCAATGAAACACAAATAGACATTCCTCTGGTACTCCCCTCCTTTCAGCTAAGATCCATCTAACATCAGCTACAATATCCCTAGTACCACGACCCCTTCTAAATCCAGCCTCATTCAAGAAGAGTGCAAACATTCATTACAGAGACAGAGGAAGAAAAGACCAAAATGGATGTCAGAAGAAATTATGAATATTGACAAAGCACAAGGAAGAATTCAAGATACTAAAGAGCTGAACAGAAGATTTCAAAAGGCAGCGTAGGATGACAAAGTAAAATATTACAATGAAATATGCAAGGAGCCGGAGCCGAAAAATCAAAAGGGCTGAACTTGCTCAGCATTTCTTAAGCTCAAGGAACTGAAGAACAAATTCAAACCTAGAGTTGCTACAATCAAGGATGCTTTAGGCAGAATATTAAATGATCCAGGAAGTATTAAAAGAAGATGGAAGGAATATATTGAGACACAGAATAATTTAATGAAACAACATATGAGCAAGAGCCTATGGTGACGAAGGAAGAAGTTCAAGCCTCTTTGAAGGAAATAGCAAAAAATAAAGCCCCAGGAATATGTTAATGCCAATTGACATATTTCAGCTAACAGATACTGCCCTCGACGTGCTCACCAAGTTGTGCCAAGAAATCTGGAGAACAACGACTTGGCCAACTGACCCCCAAAGAAGGGTGACCCAAAAGTGTGTGGAAACTACAGAACAATATCATTGATTTCACATGCAAGCAAAATTCTACTGAAGATTGCCCAAAAATGACTGGAACAGCACATCAGCAGAGAACTGTCGGAAGCCCAGTCTAGAATTTTATATAATTATATAATTTTATATAATTAGTTGCTGCTGATCTATACCTGTTATTCACAAAGAATATCATATGCAAGCAAAATATAGCTGAAGATAATCCAAAAACAGCTAGAACACTTACAGGGAACTACCACAAGTTCAAGCTGGGTTTCAGAAGAGGCCGTTGCAGCAGGGATATCATTGCTGATATCAGCAAGATCCTAGCTGAAAACAAAGAATATTGGAGTAATTTCTGTGTTTCACTGACTATGCAAAGACCTTTGACTGTGTATTTCATAACAAATTATGGCTAGTATTGAGAAGAATGAGAATTCCCGAACATTTAATTATGCTAATGAGAAATCTATGCTTAGAACAAGAAACTGTTGTCTAATCAGAACAAGGGAACACTGCATAATTTAAAATTATGAAGGGTCAGCATCAGGGATGTGTCCTTTCTCCATATCTATTCAATATGTATGCTTAGTACATAATTCATGCAGCTGAACTCTAGCATCAGTTTCAGAGGAAGACTTATCAACAATCTACATTAGGCAGACACTACTTTGCTTGCTGAAAATGAGAAAGACCTGAAATGCTTGCTATAGAAGATTAAAGATCACAGCCTTCAATCTGGACTTCATCTCAACATCAAGAAAACAAAAATCCTTTTCCACTGGTCTAATAGGCAACACCATGGTAGATGGAGAAAGGATTGACACTGCTAATGATTTCATCTTACTTTGATTCACAGGTCAACGCCCTTGGTACCAGCAGTCAGAAGATCAGGAGATTAGGAGATCTGTTTCTTTGGGCAAATCTGCTGTCAGGGACCTCTTAAAATTACTGAAAATCAATGATATCAGTTTGAAGACTAAGGTGCACCTGATTCAGGCCATGGTCTTTTCAATTACTTACTAAGCCTCTGAGAGCTGGGAAATGAATAAGGATGACACAAGAAGAATTGATGCCTTTGAGCTGTCATGTTGGAGAGAGAGAGAGTACTGAATGTTATGAACTACCTAAAGAACAAACAGTTAAGTTTGGAAAGGGTATGACCAGAGTGCTCCTTGGAGGCAAGGATGGCGAAGCTTCATCTCTCATACTTTGAACATGTTGCTAGGATATTCCTTGGAAAGGGAAATCATGGTTGGAAAGGTGGAGGGATAGTGAAAGAGAGAGGAAGACCCCCAGTGAGGTGGATTGACACGGTGGTTGCAGCAATGGGCTCAAGTGTATCAGAGATGATGAGGTTGGCACAGGACAGGACAGGATTCGGGTCTTTTGTTCATAGGGTTACTATGAGTTATACTTGACTCAATGGCACCTAACAATAACAACATGTCTGTTGTTACCCTGTCTTTTCAAGTCCCCATTGACTCTTTCCTGTTCCTTCACTTCTCCCATCCATCTACTAACCTCTGCTTTCTTAGTGGTTCCCCTTTTACGGCTCCCTTGTTTGGTTGAAACCATCATTCATCTTCTGAACTTTTGCTCTTATTTTGTGTGGTCAGTAGTGATCCCTGAAGGAGCCACCACCTGGCTCTCTGTTAAATGTCCTTTCTCTAAAAGGGAGAACTACAAGTGTCCATCTCCCTTTGACGTCTTTCCTATTTATTCTGCCTGACACTTGTGACAGGCAGAGATGTCATTTATGTGTTTTCTTGATTGCTGAGGGCAACTTATCTACCTGGGACAGGAAGCTGCTCTCCTATCATGCCCTCTCCTACTTAGCTCACTCTCTTGCTCCTTTGAGCACTTTTCACCCTGAACCAACTCTAGAAGTCAAATCTAATCCCTCAGCACTAAAAGTGATGGATGCAGTGCAGTGAACAGAAGGGAAACCATATAGTTCATTTTCAGCACAAGAGCATCTCACGGAGAATATATCTTTCCTTTTTTTCCAATTGATCTTCATTCAACTACTCACATGCATTTTGCTTTATAACATTACTTACAATTGTGCAATGCCATTATTTACAATGTCTCCTCAAATGCCTTCATAGGCTGGGAGCCAGGAGTTAGACGTCTGGATGGAATTGGTTCTAGGCCAAGGGCCTTCCTTATTAGTAGTGCTGAGTGTTCCTTGGCTTGTAGTTGGTTGTTCACATGGTGCTCGCCTCCCTCCCCATACGTGTCTGGAGTCTTTCATAAGATGCAAAATAGAAGGGATTAGGGTGAGTACCTATACCTCTAGTATAACCTATTAACATAAAAAAACCACCTGTTTTCAAACAGCTTATATTTTTGGGAACAGGAATCAGGACATCAGCATTTCTTTGGGAGTACACAAATCAAACCGTAATAGCAATGCGTAAGGTATCGTTTTTCTTCACCACGTACAGCACAGAGCCATCTACAAGCTACTATGAGTTCATCGGCGTGAGCAGCTGTCAGGACGTGATCCACCTTTACCGGCTGCTGTGGGCGTCCACGGTGCTGAACATCATTGGCTTGTTCCTGGGCATTGTCACGGCTGCAGTGCTGGGGGCCTTTAAGGACATGGTAAGCTCCAGGGTGGTTCTCTGCGTTAAATAATAGCAACATGGCCATTTCTAGTGCACTTGACAATGGACTAGGGACTTTGAGGTCTATTTTTTCTAAGAATTAGGCAAGGCAGGTCTTAGCACTCTTCATTTTACAATTGAGGAAACTGAGGCTCAAAGATAGTGTTGTTGTTGTTGTTGTTGTTATTGTTAGATGCCATCAAGTCACCTACAACTCCCAGTGACCCTGTGAACAATAGACCCGAGTCCCTGCCCTGTCCCTCACCATCTTTACTATCTCTGCTCTGCTCAAGTTCCATTGTTGTGGTCATTATGTCAGTCCATCTTGTTCAGTCTGTCTTCCACTGCTCTCCCACCTTTCCGAGCATGATGTCTTTTTTCAAGGGTATCCTGACAATGTGCCCAAAGAATGTGCGACAAAATTTCCCCTTCCTTGCCTCTAAGAAGCACCGTGGTTGTACTTCCTCCATGACAGGCCTGTTTGTTCCTTTGGCAGCCCATGGGATAGTCAATATTCTTTTTCAACACAATCCAAAGCTATTGATTCTTCCGTCATATTTATTCATTGTCCACCTTTCTCTATTACTATTTGGCAGTCATTTACTGTGGATGCAGGGCCTGTTTTAAGTGCTTTACAACTCTTAATTACCCTAATTCTCTCAGCTGCTCTGTAAGGGGTTGTGACTGTTAGCTGCTACCAAGTCAGCCCCTGACTCATAATAACTGCATCGACTTTTGGGTGAAATTCGCTCGCCCATGAGATTATGTAATCATCTGGGTGTGAAGCAGAACTCTACTGAGTGTGAAGACGCTGAGAAGTGCAAATGGATAGTCCTGTTGTGTCCACAGTGTGGTCTCTCAATCACATAGCAGGAGAGCCTCAATCAGGCCAGGCTGAGGAGGTAGACTGGGTGGACAAGCTGGGGTCCTCAGGGGAAAGTCAAACTTACTTATGCAGATGGAGACAGCAAGCTTGATTGAGAGGACAGAGGTCAGAACCAGACTTCCCCAGCATCTACTGCCCAGTAGACAAGAATCTATTTTCCAGAGTGATGCTTTATATGAAAATGCTCTGCTCCCTCCTGGGAGATTGAATGGTCTCCAGCAGAAAGGAAAGAAGCAGAGTTTGAAGGCTTAGTAAATTGTCTCTGAGGTGTTTGCAGGACATGTACGTAGAAGTTCCTTGTGTGGAACTTAAAAGGGAGGTGGACCCTATAAATGGAGAAGTGAGCGCATACGTATGGGATCAGTAGCTGAAGCCACGAGAAGAGGGAAGGATGCACCCGGGATAAGAAGGTTCTGGCTGGGGCGTCCAGCTGTCACCTCCGTGACCGACAGGGTTGGTTTGGTGGCTTTGGCTGACTGGACATGTGTTCTTTCCTCCTTGATCTCCTGGAATGGGTGTTTAGATGAGCAGAACAGTTTCCAAGACTGATCACCCAGGAGGAAAGTCACCTGGTCCAGAGAGATTCAGAGCTGTCCTCCACCCTGCCTCACACACTTCCTTAAGAGAGGGCACCAAGTATTGATGGTTCACACACCTCAATATCTGTTAGCTCGCTGTCTGCTCCCTCTACCTCCATCCCTGAAGATCGCTGCCCGGTTCAGGTCTTCCTTCGCCTGCTGCAGGCTGGTTCTCTCCTGCCTTCAGGCTGGGTTCTCTGCTCCAGCTCCACTCAAAGTCCTCAAGGCTGGCAAGGGAGACGTTCTGAAATGCAACTCTGATCATGCCCCTCGCTGGCTGTGGCTCCTATGGAGGCTTCCTTGTCTCTTTGTTTCAATATATAAGACCTTTCTTTCATGGCTAATCTATCCTCCCCGCATCATTTCCTGCCACTTCCCACAACATTCTTCGAGTCTGTTGAGCACAGTCCTATTCCCCAGGAATAGGAAGGTGTGGGCTTGTATGCACTTGTGCTTCTTGCTGCCTGGAATCACTGCAGCCCCTCCTTCCCTCTCTCGTTCCCTGTTTCTCTGCAGGACTTCACCATCATTCTGCGTAGAGCACTGTTTTAACCTCTATGTTAATCCTTCAGGTCCTTTGAGAACTGGTGCCCTAGAACCATACTGTAGGGGTGCTTTTCTCATTTGTGCCCAAACACTAGCAATGTAATTTTTGGAAAATTAGTTAAAGACTTCATATAGTAGTTTCTACACCTATGGGGGAAACCCCAAAATAAAACAAATCCCCGAAAACCAAAGAAAGGAACAAGCCCCAGTTGCTGTTGTGACCTCCATGTGTGTCAGAGGAGAATTGTGCTCTTTACGGTTTCAGTGTTGAATTTTCTAGAGTAGATGCCAGGCCTTTCTTCCAAGGTGCCTTTGTGGGGCCTTGAACCTCCAACCTTTTGGTTAGCAACCAAGCATGCTCACCATTTGTACCAAGTGGTAATAATCACCATAGCGCTTTATCACAGGTGGCTGTGGGTAAGGGATGAGTTAGAACTGGGAAGACACTAGATGAGCCTTGCACCTGGCTAGTGTTGCAAGCAGGACAGCTTCCGTTAGGGTCCTCATGCTCACTTGGTGTTTTGAAGGTGTCTACCTCCTCTGTTCCCTTCTGTGCCTGATGAGGAACTTACTGCTGCTTCCTTCCCTGCCTCCTGGGCTTCTTTGGAAGGTTAACTCCTGACCCTCTGCCCCCTAAGTACCTGCTCGTGATTTGCCAGCCCTCACTTGGCATCTTGCCTTCCATGCCCCTTCACTACCCTGAACCAGCCCTGTGATCACTGCCCCAGTGTCTGCATTCCTACAAAGTGCTTGACAGCCCTGAGTCTGGGGCCCAGCCTCTGAGGTGTGATTTGATCTGTCTAGGTGTGGAAACTTTGAAGGACTCTTAAGTGATTCTTGTTGCAGCCAAATTTGAGAAAATTCTTCATGCACAATGGCCTCCTTTTACAGAGGGGAGCTTTCTCAGCTGCCCTGGGAAGAACAGAGGCTCCACCATTCTGATGACTTGACCTTGAGTCAGGGCCAGGGAGACAAGTCTATAGCACAGAGATGCAAGTAGCACTGGTTAAGAGAAGAGTAATTTTTCTTGGAAAAATGGAATTTCTATTTTTAAGTCTTTAGAAATAGGGATTGAGGGGCCCATGTGAGCAAAGACATGGTTGTATAAAGACAATGCAAGACATGGGTGAATAATGTTCATTGGTCCCGGATGCCTAGTCCAGAGGCCTGAAAGCTCCTCCCCCACATCTCCACTCCTACATCTTATCTGCTCAGTAAAGCACTCAGCCTGTAAGCAGGTTGAGTGCTTTAAGAAAGAGGCCCTAAAAAAAATAAAAAAATAAAAAAATTTTAAAAAAAAAGAAAGAGGCCCTGTTTAGTCTATTTCAAGTACAAGTCTATGATCATGGCCTTGGACAAAAAGCTTTAGTCCTAACACTGTTCCAAAGCCCAACAACAATGTTAAGCACACTATTTAACAAAGAAAAAGCTTTATTTGGTGCAATATTCTTCATCTGATCAAGCCTTGTAAACCTTTCATCATTCCTTGCTTACCTTCTTGTGCTTTACCTGAAGCCCCTAGGCTTCCTGCTGTCCAGAAGATCCCTGGCTTCTGTTAATCATTTACACCATCTATGGACAAATTGGACAATCAACACCAGTCGTGGTAATGGGCACCCATGGTGGACAGTGTTGGCTGGAGCTTCCCAACTAAATCAAGCCTGGAAGCAGGAGCGGCATCCACTTCTGAAATGGCTTGCCTCCGGAAACTCTACGTACGAACAGTGCTCAGGCTGTTCGTTCATAGGGTCGCTATGAGTCGTCTACAACTCGACGGCATTAAACAACAACAACAACATGGACAAATTAGGGAGCTCTTGCAACTTGTTATTGTTGTTATGTGCCCTTGAGTCACCTGCGACTTGTAATGATTCTGTTTTTATTACCCCAGTTACTGTGTCAATCCATCTCATCCATGGTCTTCCTCTCCTACGTTGTCCCTCTACCCTTCCAAGCATGATATCCTTCTCCAAAAATAGGTCCCTCCTGGCCATTTGCCCAAACTATGTGAGACAGAGCTTCAAAATCCTTGCCTCCAGAGAGCAACTTGGTTTCACACTGTCCAGGATGCACTTGTGGCGTAGGAATTACACTGCCAACTTTAAGGCTGACAGTTCAAATCTACCAGCAACTCTGTGGGAGAAAGATGGACAATCTCTTCCGGTGAGATCTGCTGCCTCTGAAAATCCACTGGAGAGTCATTTATGAATCAGTTCTGATTTGACAGCAAATAACAACAGCAATAGAAGATAAATAAATGGAAAAAATGAAAGAATAAGTCTTGTTTTTAGGTAGTTAGTGCAAAGAATCATTGCTTTCAACGTATATTGGGGATCTTTCTATCAGGAGAATTTTATAGAAAGATGGATACCACTATTCTCAGATACTTGAAGGTTAATTTTCCAGAGAGAGAGAGGGATGGATATGGCCAACTCTGTGGTGTATGGCATTGAACTTGTCTTTGAAAGGAAAAGCAAACCAGTTGCTTTCTGAGCCATTCAGAGCTGACTGATATGTGTCTGTCTTCTGTGGCAGGTCCCTCTGTCATCGCTGGCCTACAGCTCCTCTTCTCCTCCTCAGATCCTCTACAATCCTGCCCAGCAGATCCTGGCCTACACAGGCTTCTGCCCATCGCCAGCAACCATCCCAACGTACTCATCCTACCCTTTGCCTCTGCAGGTACAGTGCCTAGCATAGCTGTCCATGCATGTGCTCACATTCATGTCATTCATGCCAGAGGCAGATCAGAGAGAGGCGGTTTGGTGTTGGAGGACGACAGGGAGTGATTCTATGGCCCTTCCTCTTTCAGATTAAGCACCTGATAGATGGTGGAACTAACATTAACTAGCAAGGGTTTGAAGATGATCAGAGGGAAATAATTTCCGGTAACAACCAGGTTATTCCTTTAAGCATGGCTTCTCTTTGGGCCCTAGTAACATTGCATGAAACAACTGATGACCAGACTGGCGTTTCATTTGTTCTCCTTCAGTAGCCTTATGATATAGCCTTGTCATTCTCGTGGCTTTGAATTTTTGCTAATTATAAACTTACCACTACAGATTTTGACTGGTATCTTGGTCAGAACAATTGAAGAGTCAGCCAACTCCAGCTCCTTGGGTAGTTGGAAGGTCCTGTAAGGACAACAAAGCTTTCTGAATATTTTGTAGCATATGAATGTACCAGATTCTAGCCATTTTTTATTGTAAAACCAGTGATTTCATATGGTTCAAGCAGGAGTGGCATCAACTTCCTAAATAATATGCCTCTGGAAACTCTATGAACTTTGATAAATGTCAATAGTTGTAGAGGAGCTTCAGGCCTTTTGTTCATAGGGTCGCTATGAGTTGTGCTCAACTCGAAGGCAATCAACAAAAACATCAACATCCTGTTATACTGCTATTGACCATTTGCCTGGGGACTGTTATAGGAAGACATGTGGTGGGAGTGAACTCTGGTTTATACAGTAGCATTTACTTTGTCCTCCTGTTTTCCATTCGTGGTTGTACCTTCTTTCTATTTTAGGAACCTGTGTTTATACCCTGGTGGCAGGTGATTACCTCTCACCTTATAGACCCTAGATCACCTTTTCAGCCTCCCCATTACTGACACATTAAGCTAGATGAGTCTTTGTCATGAGGGGCTGTTCTGTGTACTGTCATATGTTTGGCAGTATCTCTGGTCTCTGCCAACTAGATGTCAGTAGAACCTCCTTTCAATGTGTGACAATCAAAAAGGTCTTCAAATATTGCCAAACACTCCCTGGGGGGGGGGTTAGAGCCTTTGAGAATCACTGCTGTAGACATTCTTATATCTATTTAATTTGGACTGGGCTGCAGGGTTTGCTTGTACATTGTCAGGTTGGCGTACCCCAGCTTGCTTTGCCAATAATAACAGCAGCAAAACAACAGATGCATATAGAGTGCTGGTTTAGTTCTAAGCAGTTTATATGCATTAAAATATAGAGATACTCTGTTTCTGTATAAAAGCAGACCTGACTATGAGTGGAAAAGGCTTAGATTCAGGTAATTTTTTTTGGCATTAACTTGCTCGAAGAGGGGAGCATCAGATGAACTATCAGGGAGTAAGACCTTGCTGAAAAAAGAAAAACAAAGCCACAACAAACCCATCAGGCTATGTATGTATTTATTTTTTCTATGTGACATCAATTACAATCCTCATATTGTAGTAGCACTCTTCCTGCTTCTTCCCTGTGAGTCCCATTTCTATCCCTTTCTGCCTTCAGAGCCTTATCCCTGGGCAGATGATGTTGTATTGGTAAATTCCAGGTTTGAAAAGTGACCAAGGACTATAGTCTTGAAGATCTCACAAACCTTTACTAGACTAGCACATATGACAAAAAAAAAGCTGTTTTAGAAAGAAGGTACGTATAACTTACTGGCTCCAGACTGTCCAGGACAGAGAAGGGTTAGTGAGGTTTCCTAGCACCGTGGCCCTAAACCAGCTGCCCAGCTTGGGCAGGGACTACAATGAACAGAAACCATCACCAGTTGTTACTGAGTTGATGCTGATGCATGATGACCCATGTGTTACAGAGTAGAATGATTCCATAGGGTTTCTAAGGTCATGACTTTTAGGAAGCAAATTGCCAGGCCTTTCTTTCAAGGTGCCTCTGAGTGGATTTGAGCTTACAATCTTTCAATTTGTAGCCAAGCACTTCTCCATTTGCAACACCCAGGAGCTCCTGTATTGGATTTGATCCCCGATTTCAAAGTTGCCATCATAAGAATTCTTTTCTGTGGAAAGGCTGCTAGCTGTTCTGAGAGACCCTTATTCTATAGAAAGTTCTCACCATAATCTAAAGAAACACACAGTAATCATCTCAGTTTACCACTATATGAGAGGGGTTGTTAAATGTTGTCAAACCAACTACAACTCATGAAGACAATATGTACAACAGATCTGAACCTTCTCCTATCTTGAGACAACCTCACTGTCTGACACACTTGACCCCATTGCCATAGTCACTGTGTCAATGCATTTCCTCTAGGGTCTTCCTATCCTACCTTGACCTTCTATCCTTCCAAGTATGATGTCCTTCTACAAGGACTGGCCTCTCCTGAAAACATGCACAGAGTATGTGAGATAAAGCTTCAAAATCCTTGCCTTCAAGTAGTGACTTGGTTTCATCTTCTCCAGGATAGATCTATTTGTTCTCTTGGCAGTCTATGGTACATTCAATACTCTTCTCCAGCAACAAAACTCAAAGCCATCAATTCTTCTTCTGTTATCCTTAGTCATTGTCCAGCTCTCAGGTATATAAAAAACAATTGAGCAGAACTTGTCCTCAGTCAGATACACCTTAGTCTCTAGACTGACCTCTGTGCTAATGCTATTGTATAGAGAAAGTGGTGAACTTGTTTCCCTCAAGACTTCACAGCACTTTTGTTGGAGGGTGTTAGTGGTGAGAGCTCCCTCAGGCCCAGGATGTATTCGAAAGGCTGATTTACCCTTGTCTTTGGCAACCACATACCAAGTGGGTGTGAATTTAGTTGAGAATAGGAGGACTTCCTGGACTTGTCATTATCTGGGTATGGAAAGGGGTCAGTCTTTTTCTCTCTCTGTGGCTCACTTGCTTCCATTCACCTTGAAAATGAAGCTAATGGCTGTGATCTCTGTATGTCTGTCAGGGTCTTCAGAATCCCTGAAGCTGAAGCAGCAACTTCACCTGGATGCTCCTGGCATCTATATGGTCTCTGAGGAGTGGCTCCTTATAGACTTGTCATTGGTGGCCCCATCCATAGCGGGAAATCCATCACTCAGTCACTCAGCAGGCCCTGAGTGGGTGTGAACTGTACTGTTTCATGGACAGACCCCAGGTACCTGTGGAGAACGAACCTGTGGACAGTTTTTTGTACTCAAGGGACACAAGGTCCCATCATAGGACCTCTTGTCTGTATCATATTTTTTTCATCTCTGAGTAATTCCAGTTTTATCCCCAGGTTCAGAAAGAAGAGTCATCTCTAACAACTCAGTCTGGAACTCATCTAGATTGTCACCAACCATCACTGGTGGTGGTCACTCCTCAGTGGTTCTGCATGTCCCCTGGGTCCCACAGTGCAGAGCCTTCCTGGGGGCACAGGGAGCCCTGCTGGGAGGTGTCAACCCTACACTGGGAGCCTTCAATTTCCCATGTGGCTGTCTCTATGTTGTCTTTGAGGAAGTTCTAATTCCCTGGTCCTCACTGTGAGACAGACCATGGCATTGCATACCCCACCCTGGGTTCTGGGATCTCTGCTGAGCCTGTCTTAATCTTCTTAAGAATGAAGTAATTTGCAAACAAACCCTAGTCCTACACTTGAGGTGCATGGATGGTGGTGCCAATCCTTAGCTGGTTTGGCTTTGATACCAGCACCCTAGCTTGGAAATGTAAAGACAAAGAAGCACACTCAAATCTCAGCAAAGTTTTTATCGCCTTGGTCTATAATTGATATTTGCCACATCAATATCAAAAGTCTAAGCAGCCTCCCTGAGTCAGGAGAAAACAAGAAGTTAAGATGAAATGGTGACGTGTCCACTGTGACATTGTCTGGGAGCCTGTGCATGACTGGGAATGGATTTCCCCGGTTGGAAATGAAAAGCATTTCCATCAAGGTCCTTTCCTCCTTGTCTAAATACTTGAAATCTTTGCTAGCTTTGTCACCTCCTGACACCTTTCTGTAGCTCTTGCTGTGGCTTCTGAAGTTAACCATCTTCCCTGGGCTCTAGACAGCTCGCTCAGCTGTAGTCTCAGGGTTCTTTGGGAACCACAGATGCTCAGCCATCAAGGAAGGGAACAGTGGCCAGAGTGCTGAGAAGTCAGAATCCCAGTTTTTGGGAATCCCAGAATCTTTTGATATTCTTGTTTCAAGTCCTGGGCAGAATAGAATGTTCTTGTTTTAAGAATGTTCTTGTTATAAGTATGTTCTTCTTTCAATTCCTCTTGCAGAACGCTGGACTTCAGATGGTACCATTGTTCTCATAGCAAGCTGTCGCCTTCCTGACCTTTGTGGCTGAGGAGGAATGTGCTTCCTGTGGGAGGGGGCAGACACAATGGAGATTCTCTTTCATCCCTAAAGGGAGAAAAAGCATGGACTCACAGGATGCTTGTGAGCCAATCCATTTTATTATCATGCTGTCTCTCCTCTTCATCCATCTTTGAAGACCTTCGATTTCTCACAAACAGCAGATGATCCGTCCTCCATCCTCCCATGGGAAGCCTCGGTTCCTGTCCCTATGGCTTAATCAACTTTTATTGCCAACATATGTTGGGGTATAATTACATATACATTAATAATTCTATTTCAGGAGAGAGGACAAATTGAATGATGCTCCATGTGGTTCCTTAGGGGGGAAATACACAACAGAATTGATGATTCTGTTTCAGCTGACCCAACAGAGAAGGGAAGGAAATATGTTAAGTGTCCTGTGGAAGTCATTAGGGAGCTCTGGTGGTGTTGCTTCACTCAATATTGGTTAACAAAGCCTGTGCTTTTCTGGCAGTCTGAGTCTACCAGTAACTCCACAGGAGAAAGATGAGCAGTCTCCTCTTGTTATGATATTCTTCTTGTTGTTGTTGTTGTTAGGTGTCATTAAGCCAACCACGATTCAGTGACCCAATGAACAGTAGGTCTGACCTTTGCCCTCCTCTGCCCCATCCTCAAGATATCTGATTTTCAATAAACAGCCTCAAAAACTCAATGAAGGCTCACTATGAGTAGAAACTAACTCAATAGTGGTGAGTTTGACCTAGAGTTTTGAATGGAAGTTATTCATAGCAAAAGATACACCCACAGAATAGAGAGCAGGAGCTGAGATAGCTCCTTGGTGGGTCTGTTTTGCATGGTCAGCCAACAGGAGAACTGAAAAGAAATTCACCTTTCTGTTGGCCGGAGCTCCATACCCTTTCCAGCTCCTTGCCCCAGTGACACATGCAGCAGAGAAAGGGTCTGGTATAAAGTAAGGCTGCAAGCGGAAATGTACCTCTGTCCTGTTAATAAACATATCTCTTGTTTATTCTTCAGTTGGGATGACGAATCTGAGCAAAGTCTGTCATCTGTGGTGAGGTTCTGGTTTGTCTGGGTCAGATTAGCTTGGTATGCAATGCAGAACTGAGCAGATACATGTAGGGGCCAAAGCCCGCCAGGCCACCTGCAGACCCAGAGAAAGTCCTAGAAAGGTTCATTTTGCTCCCCCTGCTGTCAGGAGAAGGTGCCCTTCTGTCTCCTACAGAGCAATTGCTAGATGCTGATCTTGTGGTTAGCAATACATGGAAGACACACACAGCACCAGAGCCTCTGGGTGGAGTAGAGAAGTGATCTTTAAAAAGAACTCATCCTTTGTTGTTTCATAAAAGGAAAGTTTTGTTCCATTTATTTGTTTAAATATTATTTTAGAATGCTTCCCCCTCCCCCCCATCCCTAGAACTGTAAAAAGGGAGTCCTGGTGTCATTGTCTAGAAGGAGTTACGCAAAGTTGATGCTTTTCCGGCAGTTTAAATGCACTAGTGACTGTGCTGGAGAAAGATGGGCAATCTCCTCCCCTCTAATTTTCACCTTGGAAACCTTCTGGAGGGTCAGCCATGAATTGATAACTTAAAAACAACAACAAAACCCCCCACAACCAAATAGCTATCCTTGGTAATGATGGAGAAAGAGTACAGTTTTTATTCATCTAAAATTTGTGTCCTTCCTCCAGCATTTTTATCATCACAAAATTACTTGAACTTGAATGATGTTGAAATTGTGGCTGCTTTGGGTTCCGCCCCCCTAAATTACGATGACTTAGATGAGTCCAGAAGAGGCTGTCAGAAGAAGCTGTCTCTGGGCAAGAGAACCTCGAGACTGCCGTGTTATCTGTGTGTTGACTGGCGTCCTGTGGGGTAGCAGGGCACAGGCTAGCCATTCTCTTGCACTGTGTTCTGATTTCCATCAACTCTGCTCTAGGGTACCCCCCCCCCTTACAGTTTAAAGGCTAGAGTGCATCTGTGGCTCATGCTGTGGAGACCTAAGTGATTAAATTGGTGCAGCCCTTTCTAGGACATTGCTGAAAACATTTTTCAAGCTCTTGTGTAGTTTTCAAGAGTGAGGTTTGTGAAAAGGAGACTCCAGCTAGGCTAAGTGGCTGGAGTGCCTTACCCTGGGGAAATGCATTTTTTGTGGTCATGGAGCGGATTGCACGGGTGAGATTGGGTTAGGGAGGGAGGCCTCGCCCAACTCAGCTCTTTTGAGGGCCCTGATAGGCACTAAGCATGTTGTCATCCTTCTCTGTACGTGGACTGCACACGTCATGTTACTTGCTTACTGAAGAAGCCATTTCTGTTTAATTGCAGCCCTCCAGCAACTTTCCAGTCTCGTCTTCCACTGATCTCTCTCTATCTGATGACACGCAGCCTCCGTCTCAGTCCAGCTCCAACTACGGGCTTCCTCCCAATGCCCCACCACTCTATACACCAACTTCCTTCTTCCCGGGGGAGAAACCTCCCCCCTACGCTCCATGACACCAAGGCGGCAGATTAAAAAGGAAAAAAAAATGTTTATGTGTGTTTAAAAATCACAACACAATCTTCTAGGAACCTTGCTTCTTTGACCAGTGCCTAGAATAAGCCTAGAGAGCCCCAAAGAAGCCCAGACCCTCCTTCCGTCCGCTGGTCACCTCCCCCGTGCTCAAGGCCAGAGCAGGGATGTGGAGAATAGACCCCACCCAGGCTGGCCTAGGCCTGCGCAGGCACTCAGCTGCTCCATCACCCCTCCCAGCTTATGAAAGGCCACTGGAAAGAGAGACATGGAGGCTGCCAACCAAAAACGGTGCTCTCCAAACAGATGAAATCATCTCCTTTCTGTGGGCCTGCTTCCTTTCTCACAGACACCAAGTATCACATACAATTTCAACCTGTTCTGATGTTTTGCCTTCACTTACAGCAAACAAATATGTTCCCTGTTTGATTTTCATACTGGCTTCTTATTTGTTAATTAATTCATATTTCCAAAGGAATCATGGTCCGATGTGTCCCTGTGTGAAGATTCTTTTTTAACATGTTGTTTATATATTTATACTTACTTGAGTTTATAATGAAGTGGCAGAGCCCCCCATCCCACCTACCAACCCCATATGCATGGTGCTCTCCTGACTGGCTTTGCTTGGAAAGAAAGCCTATGGTGGCCCAAATATAAAATGCTGTTTGTAAATACCTGGAGTCTGTGTTGTGTGTATGTATGTGTGTATAGTCTTTTCTATCTCTCAAACATAAAATCTGCCTTTGCTATCTGGTGAGAAGTTTTTCTACCTAGAGTTGAACATTTCATACTTATCATGGCTGGGTTTTCCAGCTTCAGGCTTCAAGAAGTTTTCCTTGAAGCCACCCAGTTCACAGGGCAGACCCACTCAAAAGAGTCCTCCATGTTCACAGGGCAAGTACCTTCTCCCTGTTCTGAAATGATATGACTGAAAGGACATGTCTAAGATCCCTTCAGCTTCAAGAGTCTAGGATTCCATCTATGGGCAGGATTCCATCTTACAAGTGGACACATATTTACTAAGGGCTCGATATGTGCTTGCCCTCTGTTAGACACACCTGGTTGAAAAGGTGGGTATCAACTTTAGGATTAATTAAATCCAGGGTTGAGTAGCATATTTGAGTCCCTAGACTATAGTCCTAAATCACAAATGAAGGTAGGGGAAAGAAGAGAAGAGAAGAGAGGAAAAGGGAAGGAGTCTGGGAAAGGAAAAAGCAATTTTATGAAGACATGGTGTTGGGCTCCCCCTGCTGTCTGGAAGCCACGATCCTATGTAACAGAGGAGATGTTCTTAGCATGCAACAGAAGCATCTTATGTTCCATTTCTGAGGATACAGAAAGTTCCTATAGTAGAGGCAAAGAATATACATTAACATAAGAAAGGCAATACACTTGGATGTAGAAATACACATGTGGTACTATCGTAAGGCAGATCCCAGAAGTCGGGTCAACTGAGTTCAGAAAGGTGATGCACGTAGGTGAGAAAGCACAGTGGCCTGATGAACCTTTAGTTTTATCAGAATCATCATTACTGAGATTTTGTTAAATTTCAGACTAATGAGTCAACTGTTTTCCCCAAGAGCCTGACTCACTTATGGGGGCAATGCAACCATGACCTTCTGAGACCTGGAAGGGTCTGGCTTCCTTCATGTCCTTGACTGGCGCTTTCTAGAAGCTGAGCTCAGCCAGCCATGTCCCCATCTATTTGCTATTTGCTCTCAGCAGCTAGTTTTGCAAAACTTTTGGACTTGCTTTTGCTTTTGATGGGTTTGTTTTAAGGACAATAACAAAAAAAAATAACAAAAATAGTCAAAATAGTTCCTACTGGCTGAAATAGAGCTCTTGGAAATACTGTGAAATGATGTAAAATTAGAGTTTAAAGTCTCCTTTTTCTCTCCAATTTTGATGCCAACAATCTTATTCTTCCTGTAACTGTCCAAAACTTAAAAAAAAACCAAAACAAAACCAAAAACCCCAAACAAACAAACAAACAAACAAAAAAACCAAAGAGAGAAAACCCACCAAAATTCCTCATTGCCATCTAGTCAGTTCTGGATGACAGTCCTCTTGGTCCTCCATCAGGTTTCTGAGACTGTAAATTACACATCTGGAGATTGCCTGTATTTCTTCCTCAAAGCTTCTTGCTGTTGGATTTGAACTTCCAGATAAATGCAACTAACACAGCACAGCTGCCTACTGATTTAGCCAGGGGAGCTGCCAAAAACCTTTACAGTTCTCCACTCATTTCGTCCTAAATATGCTAACAAATTCTCTCTTCTCATCTCCCTTAAGTCAGCAAAACCTCCTTGTCTCTATCCTGTTTTCTCTGCTTAGTACCTGACTACTTGATAAAATAAGCCCTGGTTAAGGCACTAACCTCTGAAGGCAAAGCTTCCCTTCCCAGGAGGGTTCGTGTAATAACAACACCTGGTAGTTGGTCCTCGTGTGACCCCTGGGTTGTAGTTCAGGATCCCATACTAAAGAGGGTATTTCTTATTAGATAGGCTCCTACAGAAAGAGCCCAATCCATTCACAGCTATGCGATATGCTCATTTTTTTTAACCAAAGAAATGTAGTTCAAGCATCATGTAAGACAACAATGTACAAAATTAAAAGAGAATCCAAGCAATTGTATATCCTGTGTTTACATCATGGAAATGGACCTCACAGGATGGAAGACGTTTATTTCTGATCACAGGGTTATAGAAACCAAGTGGGGTTCTTCAATGATTTTGTAGAGGAAGGCCCAAGCTTCTTGCCATTATTTTTTCACAGCCTTTTTTTCCACTGGAAAGTGAAACAGCCATGGTTCTTTAGCATAGATGACACACGAAAGGGACAGGAGGTTAGTTACATCCTGGTCTGTTGCTTGAGTGGTATAATAGAAGGTTCACATATTCTCCTAAATCATAGTGGTTCTCCTTTAAAAAATCAGGAGGTAATCTTGCAACTCTGGAAGAGTTACATGGGTAGATTTGCTGTTGATTTTCTGATGATTGAATTTCCACTCATAACTCACATGTGCCAAGTAGAACAGCAATAGAACTTTTAGACACTAGGCCACCAGGTTTATTTTCTGGGTGCCTCTATGCCCATTTGAATCACCTGCAGGTCCACTAGCAGCCAAGGGCTAGCAAACAGTCCATTTGCATTGCCTAGGAATTCCTCCTGGGGATTTGTTCTTAGATGCCTGGAAGTTGGCTCCAGCTCATAATGACCCTAAGAATGAAAAGCCACCCGATGGGTGCCATCCTCACCACCTCTGTCCATCCGTCAGTCCATCTCTGACAGGTGCTTTCCCTTTGTTACTGCTCCTCTGCTTTACCAAGCTTGACGGCTTCCTCCAGGGACTGGGTCCTCCTGATAACATCCTAAGTACATGAAACAAAGACTAACCAGTGAAACTTCTAAGGAGCATTCTGGGTATACTTCTTCCAAGAAGGATTTAGGGACTGTCAATAAAATTTAAGACTTTGATAGTCAGAGCTATATTTATATTTTAAAATGTTAAACTATTAGTAAGTATGTACTAAATGTTCTAATGGTCAAAATGGTCACCATTGTTGTGTAGGTTTTCTGAAAGGTGTTATACTAGATTGTGACTTATACACATACATTTTTGTTGGCCTAATGGCAAGAAGCTGTGCTGCAATACTGAAGGCACGTGGTTTGAGGCCACCAGCTGCTCCACAGGAGAAGGATGGGCAATCTCCTCCTGTGCAGTTAACGGCCTCTGAAAACCTGCTGGAGGGTCAGCTATGGGTCGGTTCTGACTATGGTACAATAAGCAAGCAAAGGTCCCCGCATTGCCTATCTTCTAGTTGTGTGAATTTAAGAATAACTTTTACTGACATATTTGTGGTTGTTGTGTACTGTAGAGTCTGAAACAATTCATAATTGACCCTTGGGTAGTTTTTCAGAGGCAGTTAATTACATGGGAGGAGATTGCCATTTCTAGCATGACACTAATGTATTAGTTTCGTTTAATGTCAGATTAGAGACTATAATTTTATTTTACTCCATTGATACTGAAGAGATTAGACAACCACAGTTTATTACATTGTAGAAGTCTTTTCAATGCTTACAGGAAAGCCTGTGTGGGACCATGCCTTTCATGTCCCGCCACTGAGGCCACTTAGGTTGTGCTACGCTGAGTTCTGGTGGTGCTGTCTGTAGCAAGTTGAATGCCACTAACTCAAAGGCTGTGTTAGTTCTGGGATTTTGAATCCACTACAAGCTCTGAAGGGGGAAGATGAGCAGTCTCCTTTTGCAATTTATAGCTTCAGAATTCCAGTGCAGGACCATTCAGAGAACCGACTGGAGGACATTAAGTGAGTGACGTGAAAAATCTAGTGCTGTGCCTGCCAGGTAAAAACCAAAGTCAAACTGAACTCATTGTCATGCAGTCAATTTTGATTCACAGGGGCCTCCCATTTGGCTTTGAAGCTATAACTCTTTCTTCTGTAGAAAAGGTGGTGGACTCGAACCACTGAGCTCTCAGCAGCACAGCGAGTAATGTACTACACCATACAGTATACCACTGAGTTCCTTGTCTGCCAGGCCAGAGTAGTTCAATGAACTCTCATACTCCCCTTCACTTTAGTTAGACCTTCTTTAACAACCCTGCAGACTAGCCTCTGTTTTACGACAGCACAGGCAGTTAAGTTGCCCTTATAAAGGCTGAAGAGTTCACCTGCACACTTAAACTGCCAGGAGTTTGTATTTGACAGAATGATGAGAATGTGGTCAGTTTTCTTTCTTTGGGAAATTAAGTTCACAAAGTTTTAAATGAAACAGGTGCGTTCATAGTTGTCTTAGTAAAATGTTTCTGTTGTTGTAGGCCATCAAGTAACATTTCTAATCATAAAACCCCCATAGACCTGCCCCATAGGGTTTCTTTATGAAAAGGGGGGCTTTAATCTTTATGGGAACAGATCATAAAGTCTTTTCTTTTGAAAGAAGAGCTTCTGATGGGTTCAAACAA